AGTCTATATTTCTAGGGTTTTGTTTGTTTCTAAGAGGTTTTTGCCTTACGGCACTTTTGCTTTGGCAAGGATACCCAGACAGTGAGAAGTCACTCCCTGGGGGGGATGGTAGTGGCAATCCCTTCTCCTCCATTCTCCTCCCAGAATCTTGGGCATCCACGCACGTGCACCCAGTGTGATTTTCAAGCTACTGGGTCCAGGACTCGAACTACAGTTGGCCACGTGAGAGTCTAGCAACATAACTGCTACGCCATCTGCTGGCCCCTATATTTATAGTCTTGTCAGTTGTCCTAGCAGGTGTCCGCAGTAGCCATTCTCCTAATCAGGATCCAGGTCAGAGTCACATAGTCCATTTAGCTGTCACCGTTTTAACTTATTTATCTCTACCATGAGTGAGAATGAGACACACAAGCATCCCAGGCAGGGTCTTTTTTATTTATTAATTTTTTTGAGAGTTTTTTTTTTTTCCCCACTATAGGGTGCGTGCGCTCGCCAGACAGACAGAGAGAGACATAGAGAAAGCGAGAAATCACCCCCTAGGGGGGATGGCCACGGCGCAATCCCTTCTCCTCCGTTCTCCTCTCGGGATCTTGGGCATGCACGCACACGCACCTGGTGTGAGTTTTAAGCCACTGGGTCCGGGACTCGAACTGCAGTCGACTACGTGGGAGTCCAGCAACATAGCCATTATGCTAACTGCTGGTTCCCCCAGGCAGGGTCTTGATGCTGTGATCCATCCCAAGGCCTGTCCTGGGCTGTGGGTGTGTGGTTGCAGGCACTCTCAGGGAGGTCCCTGCATGCCATCCTAGAACCTTCCCATGTGGGTCAGCCCTCCAGCTTGGTCACCGTGGCGCTGTCAACTGGCCCCCAGCTGGAGGACTGGCCTTATGGTGTTTTATTGACACAAAGCCTCAATTTGTGTTTGTCTGATGGGTCTTCAGGATCCATTTCCAAGTTTACGTTTTTAACTGGGATACTACGTAAGGGGTATTGTGCTTCCAACATGGTATTCGGAAGCGTCAGTGGGCACATGTGCGTGCATGCCCAAAATCCCAGGAGGAGAATGGAGGAGGAGGGATTGTGGCATGGCCATCCCCCCTGGGGGGTGACCTGCCCTTTATGGGTGATGCCAGTTTTGATCACTTGGCTGTGTGTTACCCACGTATGTATCGCCACTGTGCAGCCACTCCTTTGCATCGTTGCGATAAGCGATTCCTAACTATGCAGATGTCGCGGTCATCATCACTCCCTCCCACCAACAGCAGAATCATCCGTGGGTGACTCCTACCTGGACCACCTTTTATTCTGATGGTTGCAAAACAGTGGTTTTCCACCTCCATCGTTTCTTCTGTATTTATGAGTCAATATTCCCCATCTCTTCTCTCCTATTTATGTATGTACTTATTATATATTAAGCATGTGAACTCACGGATTTCCACCAGATTTTTTTTGAGAGGTTTTTGCTATAGGGCGCATGTGCTCGCCAGAAAGACAGAGAGAGACAGAGAGATAGAAAGCGAGAAATCACCCCCCAGGGAGGATGGCCACGCCACAATCCCTTCTCCTCCATTCTCCTCTTGGGATCTTGGGCACGCACGCACACGCGCCTGGCGTGAGTTTAAGCCACTGGGTCCGGGACTCAAACTGGGTTCGACTACATGGGAGTCCAGCGACATAGCCATTACACTAACTGCTGGTCCCTCCACTGGATTATAATCCGTTGTGCTTACTGATTTCCATACACAGATGGTGCTACATCTGGCCACATCTGGGAGCCCTCAGCTACTCCTGGCTCCCGTGACCTGCCCCTGGCACATCGCTCAGCACTTTCTCTGCCATAAGATATTTCAGGCTCCTGTACCTTCCCTGCCCCAGCCCTGGAATTGGCCAGGAATCTTGCTTCCTTTCAACGGCAAATGGTTTTTAGAAACCAGAATCTGGCTGCACTCCTTCATCCAACACTGGAATTCCTAACTTCCGAAGAGAGGGGCAGTAGAGCAGGTTCGGGGAGAATAAAATGCTCCTGTGGGCCCAGCTGCAGGGACACAGGCAGTAGGGGTCTGGCTGTGCAATGCAGGAAACCCCGTGGGAACTGTGTTTGCTTCCTGGGTCAGGCCGCAGGGCTTGGGGAGGGGCGCAGCATGTGAAGACCCTGTCAAGGGTACACACCTTGCTCGCTTCCCCATCTCTGATGAAGAAAATAAAAATAAACTCATCAAAAATGTGCTGTGAGAGACCAGCAGTTATCATAATGGCTATGTTGCTGGACTCCCATGTATTCAACCACGGTTCGAGTCCTGAACCCAGTTGCTTAAACTCACGCTGGGCGCGTGTGCATACGTGCCCACGATCCCGAGAGGAGAATGGAGGAGCAGGGATTGCAGGATGGCCACCCCCCCGGGGGGTGATTTCTCGCTTTCTGTCCCCCCTGGGGGGTGATTTCTCGCTTTCTGTCTCTCTGTCTCTCTTCGTTCTTCTGGTGAGCGCACGCCGCCCTACAGTGAAACCCTCTCCCTCCCAAAAAAAGTGGTGTGAAAGTCTAGCTTTCCATACATAATGTGAACATTTGTATGTAAAAAATAAAAAATTTTTTAAGGTTTTTGCCATAGGGCATGTATGCTCATTGGAGAAAGTAAGAAACCACACTCTGGGGGTATGGCCATGCACAATCCCTTCTTGTCCATTCTCCTCCTGGGATTTCGTGCACGCACACACATGTGCCCAGTGTGATTTTCAGCCACCAGGTTTGGAATGCAAACTGGTTGGCTGTGTTGGAGTCCAGCACCTTAACTACCATGCCATGTGCTGGCTCCCCCCTCCTTTTTTTTTTTATTTTAAAAAATTTGCCAGAAAGTAAGTGCGCTTGCCAGAGAGATAGAAAGAGAGGGAGAGAAAAAAGCTCTCCTAGTGGGACATGTCACCACCCAGGCCGAGGTTCTAACTGCAGAGTCGGCCATGTGGGATCTGGCCCTCTTAACCTCTAGGCCATGAGCTGGCTCTGAACACTTGGGTATTTGCTTCTTAGGTCTGGGTTAAAGTACTCTTATGATTGCACTCAGACTTACTAGTCTATTTACTTACCAAATTTGTGCTAAAGTGACTCTTAAGGAATTTGAAAGAAACTAAGCACAGATTGCTTCACTGTTGAATGTTTTTATTGTTTATTTCAGTATTTAATGTTCCTTTTATTTATTTATTTTTTGTTCCTTTTATTTTTAAACATTTTTAAATTTATTTATCTGTTTTTGTTGTGATTTTTGGACCACTGGGTCCAGGATTTTCAGGTCCAGCCATATGGGAATCCAGCACCTCAACTACCATGTCACCTGCCAGCCCCTTAATGTTCATTTTTAAATTAACAAATTCTGGGGACCAGCAGTTAGCATAATGGCTATGTCACTGGATTCCCATGTAGTCGACCAGGGTTTGAGTCCCAGACCCAGTGGCTTAAAACTCATGCCGGGTGCGTGTGCGTGCGTGCCCAAGATCCCAAGAGGAGAATGGAGAAGGGATTGAGGTGTAGCCATCCCCCCTGGGGGGGGTGTGATTTCTCGCTTTCTATCTCTCTGTCTGTCTGGGGACGACAATACTTTATAGAAAAACCCTCTCCAAAAAAAAAAAAAAAAATCAAACAAATTCTGGGACCAGCAGATGGCATAATGGTTACATTGGTAGACTCCTATGTAGTCGACTGCTGTTTGAGTCTGGGACCCTGCGACTTAAAACTCACGCTAGGCATGTGTGTGCACATTCCTAAAATCCTGAGAGGAGAATGGAGGAGAAGGGATTGTGGTGTGGCCATCCCCCCTGAAGAGTGATTTCTTGCTTTCTACCTCTCTGTCTCTCCAGCATGCGTACATACCTGATAGCAATATCTCTAAAAAAAAAAAAAAGAAAAGGGGACCAGCAGATGGCGTGATGGTTACATCGCTGGACTCGCACGTAGTTGACTGCGATTCGAGTCCTGAACCCTGTGGCTTGAGACTCACACGAGGCACATGTGCATGCGCGTCCAAAATCCAGAGGTGACTGGAGAAGGGATTGCAATGTGGCCATCCCCCAGAGGGTGATTTCTTGCTTTCTATCTCTGTCTCTCTGGTGAGCACATGCGCCCTATAGCAAAAATCTCTCAAATAAATAAAGAGACATAAATCAACAAATTCTGTCTCCTCTTTATAAATAACTGATTGTATATATCTAACTGATTCTATATATCTACGTAACAGATCATTGTAAAAACTAACGATAAAATGCGTATTTTTCATTTTCAGAATCAGGTTAGTCTAGTTCAGTAGAGGTTCTTTACATTGAAAGCACCATTAAAGAATTTCATGCACGTGTATATCAGTCTCCTAGGATGTTTGGAGTGACTCATGATTAATGAGGTTTTAATGAGGAGAATCTAAACAGTGTTACATGTTTAAGTATGTTGCTACACTGTCACAGTGACCGGGAAGTGATGGGCCCCATAATGCTCCACCATCACAGTGACCGGGAAGTGATGGGCCCCATAACCACCACGATCTCAGATGCTTCACTCCTAATTCTGTCTTCTCCTTACTTGGCATAGTAAGTGCTGCCTACGATCTTCATTTTAATTTGCCATATCAGCGTTTTTAACATTTCCAGCATGGCGTTCCTTCGGCTGAGGTCCCAGAACAGGTTTTATAGCTGGTAACCGAAAGCAATGCTTGATACGCACAGCACCCCCTTTTCAACCTTTCACAAAGAGCTTGTAGATACTAATTTATCCTGTTAAAACGGGCCAGCCACACCTTTGTAGGACAAATTCTCAAAATGGTACAGCACAGTGGGAGAGGTTCCCTCCGCAGGATAGCTCCCGTCTGTCTGTGTTTAGACCTGATGGTGCTATCAGATTTCCTGGCGGTGGACAATGGCGAGCCTTTGGTTCTGAAGGCCTGTGTTCTTTCCGACTCAAACTGTCCAAGAGTCCTGCTTTCACGCCCAGAGCTGCTGACCAGCTCTCTTTTCCCTTCTAGAAATGATGCTTCTCTCCCAGTCCTCATCACTGCCTCCTTCTGGGTCTGTGTCCACCGAAAACCCAGAGCAGAGGATGCTGGAGAAGAGAGCCAAGGTGGTAGAAGAACTTCTGCAAACAGAAAGAGACTACATTCGGGATCTGGAGATGTGTATCGAACGGATCATGGTCCCGCTGCAGCAGGCACAGGTGGGGACCCACGGGAGACAGCATGGCTTTGATGTGGTCCCCCCAGCCTCAGATTAGGGTACCGGAGCCTTCCCCACAGAGCGTCACTGAGCTTGGAATAGCGTGGCGAGGGCTCCTAGGTGTTGGAGATAGATAGGGAAACCACATCCGGGCATGCACAGTTCCCGCTGCTTGTTGCTTGACCCCTGGGCTTGGCTTGGATGCTCTTAGGGCCTTCACTGCCCAGCGCTTCCCTAGCATGTGGGCAGTGCCATCAAGTTCTGGGCGCTGAGTGGGAATTCCTGTCCCCGTAGAATTACAGACCAAACAGGTTCCATAGTCATTTTATTGAGAGCAGGAGAGGGAAAGGAGCAAGAGTTGTGGGATCAAGGTCCCAGGGAGATCCCGTAGATGATACCGGGCGTCTCGGTTCTAGAAACTTCATGGCAGTGCGTGAGGAAAATGTCCTTGAGCGATTTTTGTATGGTCCTTGAAGAGCTGTGCGTCTTGGAGCGCTATGCCATTGATTTCACTTCCTTGCGTCTCTCTGGATTGTTCCCCTCTCTTAGGTGCCAAACATTGACTTTGAGGGACTCTTTGGAAACATGCAGATGGTGATTAAAGTCTCAAAGCAATTACTGGCTGCTCTGGAAATCAGCGACGCTGTAGGTATGAGCCCTGCTATTTTTTCTCATGAACTTTTTTCTAAACATCGAGGGCAGAGGGTCTTCCTAATGCTAGGAAAATGAAGTTTTAGTGCCTTAGTTCAGAGGTCATTTGACCCCCTGCTTCTCTTCACCCTCGGCCTACTTTGAGGCTAGGATGTTAGCAATGGGAGATGTTCTAGTGTCACATCACAAAATGTTCCCAACTGATGATTGTAGTCCATTAGTGGGATCATAAGAGCAATTTGGAGGGTCATACCCAGTATTCATGTTCAGTAAAATGAAACAGAAAATGTCATAATGCCGCATAAGTAGTAAGTATAACGAGTGTTTTTGGAAATTTTCAGTCCCATTCTATGTATATGTGTGTATATTCAGTCATGATTTAATATGTATTTATGTGGGTCATTGTCAAACATGTCTGAAAAACATTCATCTTGGGGAACTCTATCTATATCTAGATAGATGAAAATATATATATTTTAAAGGGGTTTGCCATAGGGTACATGTGTTTGCCAGAGAGAGACAGAGAGAAGTGAGAAATGACTCCTCCAGGTGGATGACCACACCGCAATGTTTTCTCCCTCATTCTCCTCACAGAATTGTGGGCATGACGCACATGCATGTATACCCAGTGTGATTTTCAAACCTCCAGGTCCAGGACTCAAACCATGGCCCGCCATGTGGGAATCCAGCACCTTAACCACCATGCCACCTGCTGGCCCCAATAAGGGAACCGTATTAATTACTTATTACTGTGGAACAAGTTACACCCAGACATCACGGGTTAAAACCACAGACATGTGTTAGCTTACATTTCTGAGGGCCAGGTCTCTGAAGTGACTTGCTGGTAGGCTGAGCCCAGGGTCTCATGAGTTGGCCCAGCTGCCATCGTCTGAGGCTCGGGGGTTCACTTCCACAGAAGCTCTCTCACCCTGCAGGCCCTGGTTCCTTGCCACAGCAAATCATTGCACCCAGTTTTAAGATAATGCTAAAACTTAGGAGTCAAATTGTAAGGCGGCTTTGAAACAAGTATCTAGAGGTCATTTCTTTGAATTATGAGAGAAATGTGGCTGGTATCTAAACGAGATTAAACATCAGGTAATTATGCACTTTCCTTCCAGCTTGTTCGTTACCTGGTGTGTTCTGGGCCCTCAGGTGGTCCTAGTTTTCCGGCTTTTCCAAAACCACCTTTTTCCCTTTCAGTCTGATTGGCATCAAAGATGAGTCTTAGGAGGACCAGCAGTTAGTGTAATGGCTATGGCGCTGGACCCCCACGTAGTCGACCACGGTTCGCGTCCCGGACCCAGTGGCTTAAACTCACGCTGGGCACATGTGCGTGCGTGCCCAAGATCCCGAGAGGAGAATGAAGAAGGGATTGCGGTGTGGCCATCCCCCCTGGGGGTGATTTCTCGCTTTCTGTCTCTATGTCTCTCTCTGTCTGTCTGGCGAGCGCACGTGCCCTATAGCAAGAACCTCTTCAAAAAAAGAAAAAAAAGGGAACCAGCAGTTAGCATAATGGCTATGTCGCTGGATTCCCATGTAGTCGACCATGGTTCGTGTCCCGGACCCGGTGGCTTAAAACTCACGCCGGGCGCGTGTGCATGCGTGCCCAAGATCCCGAGAGGAGAATGGAGGAGAAGGGATTGCGGCATGACCGTCCCCCATGGGGGGGTGATTTCTCACTTTCTGTCTCTCTGTCTCTCTCTGTCTGTCTGGTGAACGCACAGGCCCTATAGCGAAAATCTCTCCAAAAAAAAAAAGATGAGTCTTAGGCAACATCCAATGTGCAAGGTTTTTTTTTTTTCAATTATTATTATTTCTTTTTTTCATGAACCAGTGAGAGATAGAAAGACGGCACCCCCATCAGGGTCTCGGCCCCCTGATGACCCCTGCCCTGATCCTGAGCTCCTGCCTGCTCGTGTATCTCGGGGAGGCCCCAGGACTCGAATTTGGTCCTTCCCACGTGGTGCGGCCTCACGGAGCAGCGCACCTTACCGCTGTGCCACCTCTGGCCCCTCAAGCAGCTGTCCCTCAGGGCAGCACCAGCATGGAAGGCAAACGGGGCAGCCGGCAGTATGGGCCCGATGCAGTCAGGGTCGGACCTGCTCGCCCAACTGGGAGGGTCTCCATCCAGAGACTATTCGCAGACTTCGGGGTTCTTTTCCCTTTCCTATACTTGCACTCAGTCCAGGATAGTTTCCAGGTATCGCCTTCATAAAGAGAATTTAAGCTTTTAGGTTTTTTGCATTAGGTTGTATGCGCTCACCAGAGAGAGACAGAGACAGTAAGAGGGAAAGTGAGAAATCACCCCCCTCCCCAGGTGGAATGGCCACACCACAATCCCTTCTCCTCCATTATCCTCCCAGGATCTGGGGCACACATGCACACATGCCTGGAATGATTGTCGAGCCACCAGGTCCGAGACTTGAACCGTGGTCGGCCATGTGAAAGTCTATGGCACAGCCGCTATGGCACCTGCTGGCCTTTAGAATTTAAGCTATTATAAAAATAAGCTTTGTTTTAGGACTAATGAGAGTTGGATCTGTGCGAGGTGGCCTCGTCGCCTGGCACGCCCTGGCCGGTTGTACCGGGCTGCACTAGCCAGGAAAGGCACGAGAGCCCCCTGAACCAGAAGTCTCCGTCCGCCCGTTAGAGGCGGCCAGTGTTACGGGCTTCTCATCTCCTTCCGAAGACAGTTTATCATGTCAGCAATTTCACATCTTTTTTCTCTACTTTGGCCCCCATCCCTATTTTTTTTCAAATACAGAAGTGGTAGGGTGCTGATTAGACTGTTCTGTACTCAGCCTTTTCTCCCCCTCAACAGCGTACCTTCCAAGCAATTTTCTAAAATAATTATTTATTTTATTTTATTTATTATTGTTATTCTAATTCACTAGAGAGAGATGGGGGAGGTGAGAAAACGAGCCACCAGGTCTGGGACTCAAACTGTGGTTGGCCATCGGGGAGTCCAGCTCCTTAACTTCCACACCACTTGCTGGCCACCCACGCAATTTCTATGACCCAGTAATAGAAATGGGGAAAGGGATAGTAAAATGTCAAGGAATTCTAGGGTACTGGAGAAGGCAGAGCTGAATTAGCTTAGGTGGTCCTCGCTGGAGCAGGGCTGCAGTCAGCCAGAACGGGTGTGGTGGGAGGGACAGGACGGTGGTGGTCTCTGTCTGTCTCTCATGGAAGAAAGAAATCTCATAAAAAGTAAATACATGGTTCTCTAAATTTCGCCTGGATTGATATGACTTGAAGCTATTTGTGGAAACTTCTTATTTGATGGGTAGCCTTACCAGTTCTCGTCGCAGGCAGGATGTGACTGACGTGCAGGTGTGAGCTGGTACAGACCTCGTGCCTGAGCAGCAGTCACTAGGCAGTGCTGTGTGTGTCCCAAAGGGCCCGTGTTTCTGGACCAGCGGGATGAACTGGAGGGGACGTACAAGGTGTACTGCCAGAACCACGATGAGGCCACCTCGCTGCTGGAAGTCTACGAGAAGGATGAGAAGATCCAGAAGCATCTTCAGGACTCCTTGGCAGACCTTAAGTAGGAGTTTTGGCCACTTCACTCTATCGTAGCCCCTTAGTTCCCCATGTTAGACGTCATCCCCACGTATGTGTCTGGTCTTCTTATGACATCTATCGATTTGACTTCAAACGTAAGTGACATAGTGGGTTGTCGGAAAAGCCATGTCACATTCTTGCACAGAAAAACAGAAAAAATACCCATGAGTTTTCCGACAGCCCAATATTATGTCCTGTTACGAAGCTCGCCCTTTTTCATAACATAGCATGGGAATCTGACTGGCTTTGTGCTTGTACTTTTGCCAGTTTCCATCACTTTCATGTATGTGTATTAAGTTAGCACTTGCAGGTAAGAAGCAGTCAGGAAGAGAGCTGGATCCAAATAAACAGGAGCCGCAGTGAGGCGGCCTCACATAGTGTTCTTGACTGTCGAGTGGGACTCGCCTGGTCTTAGGGAGGCAGGTTGTGAGGATGATGTGGGTGAGTTAGGAGCCTGCTGTTTTCAGTAGACTAGCTATTGTACCCCGTAGACATTCAAAGTTTCCTTTTTTTTTTTCCTGTGACTTTTGTTTGCCCAGCTAACAGGGACGTCCTGGAAAGAATGCGAATGTCAGCACCCTCTCTAACAAACTGTCTCTTTTCTTTGCATGCTCGCCGCCCGCCAGGAGCCTGTACAGTGAATGGTGAGTGCTCTTGCTGCTTGGTGGGCGAGCTGGTTCCCTCAGTGGGTTCTTTCTAACCCTTTTATTTTTCCACAGCAGAACCATAGAGTTAGACTCCACTTGCTGTGTTTTTCTCCATTGTCCTTATCCCCACATGACACTTCATGTGTTTGGTGTTGGTTTGTTGTCCGTCTCCTCCCATAGGCAGGGACTTTCTGGGGGGTCGTTATGAAGTGCCTAGCACCTGGAACATGACCTGGTGTATACCAAGTGCTAGGTAAATGCTGAATGAATGAAATTGGAAGGCAGGAGAAAGAGCAGAGCTGTGTCTGGGAATAATTACTGCTGCTCCCCAGAGGCTTTACATTATTGACAACTGACACAAGTCCCTTTTCTCCTTCCTTCATAGGGGTTGCACAAATTATATTAACCTGGGCTCCTTCCTCATCAAACCGGTCCAGAGAGTGATGCGTTACCCGCTGCTGCTGATGGAGCTGCTGAACTCCACACCGGAGTCCCACCCAGATAAAGGGCCTTTAACCAGCGCAGTCCTCGCAGTCAAGGACATCAACGTCAACATCAATGAGTATAAACGGCGGAAGGATCTGGGTAAGCACCATTGCCTGGAAGGGGGCGTGGCCTTGGAGAATGTCTGCGTGCCTCCGTGAGGGGATTAGTCTCTTCTCAGAGTTGGACAGGCAGGTGGTAGGTAAGAGGCCTGTGAGGGAGAAATGGTGGTAGGATTTGGGGGAAATACGATATGCATAGAAAAAAGGTAGTCGTAATAATAAAAGCACTACACGGAGTGTGGCAACTAAGGCGTGTGTGATAAACTTACGGACCTTTCCCAAGAGATAAGGCAGCTTGGGGAATGGTTGATCCGACAAGTTCAAGCACAGGCGGTTCTCTTTCAGCTCATTTAAGGCAGTGTTTTTCATCCATGCTTGAATTTATTTTCTCTCCACTTCTTTTTTTTTTTAATTTGCGCACTTAACCAGAGAGACAATGAAGAGGGTGAGAAAGCACCCCCTTTGGGGAAGGGTCGTGCCACAGTACCTTCTCCATTTCTTGCCCAGTTCAGGATTTCGGGCACGCATGCACACGTACCTGGCAGGTTTATCTTTTTTTCTTTTTTAGTTTGCTGTAGGGTGAGTGCACTCACCCAGAGAGACAGAGAGACAGAGAGGGAGAGAAAGTGAGAAAGCACTCCCTAGGAGGATGAGCATGCCACAGTCCTTTCTCCTCCACTTTCCTCTCGGGATTTCGGGCATACACACACGTGCACTTGGCATGTTTTTTTAAGCCACTGGGTCTGGGACTCAAACCATGCAGCTGGCCATGTGGGATTCAGTGCCTTAACCACCAGTAGCAGCTCGGTAGTTCTCAGCATCTTTTTTTTTTTTTTTTTTTTTGGAGAGGTTTTCGCTATAGGGCGCGTGCGCTCGCCAGACAGACAGAGAGAGACATAGAGACAGAAAGCGAGAAATCACCCCCCAGGGGGGATGGGCACGCCGCAATCCCTTCTCCTCCATTCTCCTCTCGGGATCTTGGGCACGCACGCACACGCGCCCGGCGTGAGATTTAAGCCACCGGGTCCGAGACGCGAACCGCGGTCGACTACGTGGGAGTCCAGCGACATAGCCATTACGCTAACTGCTGGTTCCCCTCAGCATCTTTTTAAAGCTGCAGGATCTGGGGCTCAAACCGCACGGTCAGCCCTGTGAGACCCACACACCTTAAACATTACACACTTGACTGGCCGCACATGTTTTTCAAACCACAGGGCCTGGGTCTTAAACCGCACAGTCGGCCATGTGGGATCCAGCTGCCTTAACCACCACGCCACTGGCCGGACTTCCTCCGCTTCCAGTCGGATGTCTCACTGCTTCCATTAAATTTGGGGCCTTTTGCATTCTTCCGGAAAACCCTCCTCTGGCCTTCTCTCTGGGTCTGGTCATCCAGTCACGCCCACGCCAAGTCACGCACCCCTCACTTCCTCTCAGAGTAGAGCCAGCTGCCCAGCCACCCGCTTCTTTGTGACATAGAGCAAGCCGAACCGCGTTCTGTCCCTTCATCAAACCTCTGGCTGAGGCCCTCATTGGGACACTGGAGACTGGCATGGTGATTGTGTAAACGGATTTAGGGCTCACATCGTCGGAGGCTCACCAACACGGCATAGCGCTCCTGCTTGCCCTGTCCCCCACACTTGGAGTCGTCTGGGTGCCTTCTCTGTCTCTGCCTCAGCCGCGTCTCCCACCTTTGCATGTGAGTCGACGGTGGCGTGCAGAGCCCTTTCTCCTGGCTCGCATCCCTAACGAGGCACAGCATCGCCTTCACTTTATTTATTTAATTTTACTGGTTATTATCTTTTTAAATTTTGACCAGAGAGAGACAGAGAGCAAGAAAGAGAAAGGGAGAAAGCAAACCACCAGGTCTAGGACTCAAACAGCGGTTGGCCATGTGGAAGTCCAGCACCTTAGTCACCACGCCACCTGCCAGCCCCTTGTCTTCACTTTCCACAGCAGAGTGTGCTTCTCTGCTAGCAGCCAGCCTTCCCTTCACTGCCCTCTACTTGCTTTTTTTTTTTTTTTATGATATCAGTCATGTACACGTGCTCCTTGTGGGGAGCTGTAGAGAGCACGCACCCTTGACGGGGTCTTTTCATGCCCCGTGCCCTTGCCCTCCAGCTCCTCAGGACCCTCGGTGCCTCTGCGTGTACCAGACCAACTCCAGATCTGATCCAGGGTTGCCATATGGCTTCCTGTGCCGCTGGGCACTAGAGTCTCTGCTGCCCCACGGCAGCCGGGCCATCCCTCTGCTTTTGTCGCTAAGCTTCTCTGTGGGTTATGCCTAATGTTTGACACGAGAGTTCATTGAATAACTACTATATAGCATTTTATTCTGTGAGGCCATTAGATATAAATATCTCATTGGTCTGCAAGATCATTTAAGATGTCGTTATAGGAACCAACAGATGGCTTAATGGTTACGTCTGTACACTCCCATGTGGTCAACCACGGTTCAAGTCCCAAACCTGGTGGCTTGAAACTCATGCTGGGCTCGTGTGCGTGTGTGCCCAAGATCCCAAGAGGAGAATGGAGGAGAAGGGATTGCAGCTTGGCCATCCCCCCAGAGGGTGATTTCTCTCTCTCTGTCTCTCTGGCGAGCACACACACCCTATAGCAAAAATCTCTCTTAAAAATATTTTTTTAATCTTTAGAGATATCATTATAAGGCAAGTGTGACTACTTTCTCCTTTTTTTCTTTTTTTAGAGAGATTTTTGATATAGGGTACATGTGCTTGCCAGAGAGACAGAAAGTGAGAAATCACCGCACAAGGAGTGGGATCTTGGTGGGATCTCAAGATCTTGGGTGCACACACACACAAGCACACACACCAGTGTGAGTTTTAAGCCGCTGGATCTGGGACTTAAACTGCGGTTGAATGTGGGAGTCCAACGATGTAACCATTATGTTATCTGCTGGTCCCGAGTACTTTCTACGTTTTATTGAAGTAGAAAACAAGGCTCAAAGAAGTGACTTAGTTAAGGCCATACGTTGACTAAACGACTTATCTGGGCATTAGCTCAGATTTCCTTACCTTCAAATCCTGGGGGTCCCCCTTACCTGCCTGCCACTGTCTCTTTTCCCATCTGTCTAGTGTCTGCTATTCTTTTTTTTTTCTTTTTTTTGGAGAGATTTTTGCTATAGGGCGCTTGCGCTCGCCAGACAGAGAGACATAGAGACAGAAAGCGAGAAATCACCCCCCAGGGAGGATGGTCATGCCGCAATCCCTTCTCCTCCATTCTCCTCTCAGGATCTTGGGCACGCACGCACATGCGCCCGGCGTGAATTTTAAGCCACCGGGTCCGGGACGCGAACCGCGGTCGACTACGTGGGAGTCCAGCGACATAGCCATTACGCTAGCTGCTGGTTCCCTAGTGTCTGCTATTCTTGAGACAGCACATCTGTCCACAGACGGTCATCTGGAGTAATATTTTGTCTTTCTAGTTATGAGCTCGTGGAAGACAAACCCTAGCCAGGTCCTGGCTTAGTCTCGCATGGCGTATTTCGTAGTGTGTGCTTGCTCGGGAGAGTGCATTTTGACTGACCACCTTGCCTCACTCCCCAGTCCTCAAGTACCGGAAGGGTGACGAGGACAGCCTGATGGAGAAGATCTCCAAGCTGAACATCCACTCCATCATCAAGAAATCCAACCGGGTCAGCAGTCACCTGAAACACCTCACTGGCTTCGCCCCTCAGGTGAGGTCCTTGCACCCGAGGCCTCAGGGTTCAGGGCGCCGCAGGCAGTCTTCTTGGTGTCTGTGGATGTGGTTCCTCTCCTGCCCCACCTCCAGTGTGGCCACTGGTGGACGCAGGACCCTGCAGCCCTGATTATGGGACTCCACCTACCCAGCTCTCCAGTCCTGCCCTGGTGAGCTGCTCACAGTGTGGACAGAGGAAGTTCGGAGGCTGGGTCCATCAACATAAAATCGTCATTGTGGTTTTATGTTTACAATCTAGGGAAACAAAACTACACAAAAATTGCGATCATATCAAGCCAGAACGGGTTAAGAGATCACCTAGTTAGATTCCTTATGCTACAAATAAGAAAACAGAAGCATGAAAGAGTGAGAGATTTGAAAAACGGGTTAGCAGCAGTGCGGAGAATAGAATGGGCGTCTCCAGATTTCATTCTAAATCGTGTGCGCGTGAGATAGTTGGTGGACACAGTAGGCCAGAGAACAATCAGTGCCTGAGTTCTACTGCTGTAGTCCCTAGAAACGTAGGCGCTCAGTGAGAGAGAGCTTCGTGTTGGCCTGAGGGGGCACCAGCACCTTGAAAGAAGTGGGGCAGATTTGGCTGGGGGAGAAGGGAGGGCCTCCCAGGCCAGGGGACACGTGAGGGAAAGCCTTGGGGTCAGTAGACCCTGGGCATCATGGCCAGAGCAGAGAGCGGACATCAGAAGCAGAGGGAAAAGGTTTGAACTTGTTGGCCTTTTAAAATTATGTAGAAGTTTTTAAATTCAGTGTGATTCAGCGAAACGTCAAAGACTTACCATTTGAATGAAAGATGTTTTTAAGAAAGGCAAGAGGAGGGACCAAATTTGCTCATAGCACTATTTTTTTTTTTAATTGCAGATAAAAGATGAAGTATTTGAAGAAACAGAAAAGAATTTCCGAATGCAAGAAAGGTTGATAAAGTCTTTTATCAGAGACTTGTCTCTCTACCTCCAGCATATCCGGGTTAGTGCTGACGTCACTCTAGAAACTCGTCAGGTGTTTGGGCCAGCAGGTGGCACCGCAGTTAAGGCAGCTGGATCCCACGTGACTGTGCGGTTTAAGTCCCAGACCCAGTGACCTGAAAATCACACCAGGTGTTTGTGCATTTGTGCCGAAAAATCCCAGAAGGAGAGATGTGGGGGAAGGGATTAAGTAAAATGATATGAAGTTTAAAAGCTACCAAAGGAGACGTCTCCTAGTCGTTGTCTATAGAGGCATGCCGTTTATCAGAACTTCCCTCCTACCAGAGACAGTCTGTGTGTGCACGTGCGTGTGGCGGGGCACACGGGTCCGCAGCTGGGGTTTGCACTTACACCCATTTTGGAAGTAATCCCGCAGTCATCCAGTGAGGGTCATTGATCTAGCTGGGATTTACCTGAGTCCATAAGGTTCGAGGTGGGAATCCAGTCTAGTTACCCAGTTATCTATCATCATTTATCGCGTAATCCTCCTGTTTTGAAACGTCTCTAGCATTTCTTTTAAAAACTTCCTCCCTTTGTGTTTCAAGAAACATAAT